TGGATGAGCAGCTTTTCTCTACCATTCCATTTCTTTTTTTTGGTGCCGGGGATCGAACTTAGGACCTTGCGCTTGCGAGGCAGGCCACAGAACTGCTGAGCTAAATCCCCAGCCCTCTACCATTCCATTTCACCATGCTGTTTCTTGCAATGAAGTCAGCCAACCATACAGTGAAACAATGAACCAAAATAAACCTCTTCCCATTTAAGTTGTGGGTGTTAGGTGTTGTGTCCCAGTGATGAGAAAGGGAAGAAGATGATTATGATACTGTCCTTTCTTGTGTTTCCAAGTTTGGTATACCCCTCAGGTTTATTTTCACCTTGTTTAGAGTACCTAGAAGTTCTCAAGGGATTGTATCGCCACCTTGGGGCAATTGGAGTATGAATTTTTTTTTAAACAATGAGAGAACTTCACTGACTTTTAGTGGGCATGGCTGGGTGTCACTAAAGTCCCGTGAGGGACAGGACAGCTCTTTATACCATATTGTCAGTGTCACCCCTAGTATTGAGGAATGCTGATAGAGCAAGTCCAGGTTGTTTGGTCAATATTATATTTTCCCTACTAGACAGGCACAAAGGTTTTAATATTACATTATTTATGCAAAAATTTTTCTGGGGAGTTTCATGGAATTACTACCTATAGCTTCAGTTAATGAAGTTTGGACTTTCAGACCTTCTGATTTTTTTTTTTTTTGTATGGGGCTTGAACTTGAGTTCTTGTGCTTGTGAATCAGGCAGTAGAACCACTGAGCTAACTTCTGGTTTTGTTGTTTTTGTTTTTATGGTGCTGGGGATTAAACCTAGTGCCTCACACATGAGACCGGCTGTTTTGTTGGATATTTTCATTAACTTTGGTTACTTGAGTGTATTTAATATGGAGATGGTAGAATTGTTTTTAGTTTTCTTATTTTTGGGGTGCTGGGGCTTGAACCCAATGTCTCACACACGCTAAGCATGTATTCTGCCACTGAACTATACTCTTAGCCCTTGTTTCTTTCTGTATAGGATAGTTTAGCTCAGCTGTTCACAACCACAGCTACACATTGGAATTTCCCAGGGAACCATTAACCATACTGACGCCTAGATTCACCCTCCAGATTCTTATTTAATTGGTCTAGAGTGTGACATTGGAATTATAAAAAACTCTCCAAGTGGTTATAATTATGTGCATATAGGATTGAAAATTACTAGTCTAGGTATTCTAGAAACTCTGCAAAGATATTAAGGAGGATGAATTCAGCCAAATGAAAGAGTTTTTCATTTTTACCCATGAAACATTCAGCACCTGTGATCAAGATGACTAAGCCAGGCAATGTTTTAAGCTAGTGGCACACATACCTTTGGCTTTCAGTTTTCACTTTAAAACCCTGATTCTAGGAAAGAGAAACAAGGAAATTGGTTTAGCCCTAGTTTCCCTTTCTAGAGTCTTTCCCAAGGTCTGGGAGCAGTTGGGGTGACAAAGGAGACTCTGATCAGAAGTTAAGTAAATCTGAAGATGGACAATAAGCAAAATGGCATGGCCCCTATAGTTCCCTACAGACACCTTCCTGGCAGGCAGGGCTGGTACATTCAGAGGCCTATAGGGACCAGGCAACCCACAACTATGCTGGACATGTGTGTGAATGTAGAACTGTAGATACTGTACATAATGACTTGTCCTATTTTGCTGAGGAGGAGGGTAAGCCCATAGTGTGGAAACAAGTAACACATTAAAGACAAATTGGTGCCTTTTTAGTTTGAAACCTGGCTGGAGGGTTTCCTTTATCCCACATGATGCCTATCTGCTAATTTTGCCAGTGAAAAAAGGGGATGGAGCCATACTTGGCTTGGTGAGGAGTCAAAGCTTTGCATGGATCAAAGATGTCCCCTTTCCCTGGCCCAAAGGATGGAGTCCCTTCAACTCAGTTCCCTGACCAGGGCCACGGTCTACTGTACAGCCTGGTCAGTCACACTCAGTGTGGCGCTACCTGCAGTTCTCTTTACCAGCATGGGAGATTTGTGTTCTGTTTAGTAATGTGCCGATGGAACCGAGTCTTGAGGCCATTTACCAGGAGTGATGATTTGTTTATACACTTTCAAAACAGAAAACATCTGGTCTAGCCAGAGAGGGATTACATAATTACATAGTGGCTTTCACATTCAGGCTGAGTTCTGCTGGGCTGGGTGTACTTTTCCCCACCACTCTGTACTCAGCCCAGTCACCTGCATGGTTGGCTTATACATCAGGCTCTGATGACACACACAAGCTGAACTGAACAAGGTTAGTTCATTTTTATCAAGGAAAACAGAATTATCTTTTGGAGAGGCAGAACTCATTCTTAAATGCTATACAGTTCTGAAGGTATATTTCAGGCCTTCCCTTTTAATTTCCTGAAACCAACTTAAAGTAGGGTCAATTATTTTCTCCGAAATGAGTTTCCTGAAGGTACAGTTTTGCTGGGAGTGAGAATTTAGTGATTCATTGGGCCACTGCTCCTGTTTATAGGTGCTTTTGTTGTAATGGGTGTGTGATGTGTGGCTTCTTGCCAGTATTCTCCCTGATGGGGTGTTTTCTTGGAAGTGGTCTCCATTTGTCCTTTTTGGCACTTGAATTACCTGCCTGTTTTCTAAATTGTCTTCTCTTCTGTCTCTGATAAGCAGGCTTGTCCTCCACCATCTTGACACCATATCTGACCCTACCCAGGTCCCTCTTCTACGGTTTCACCTGTTGCCTGGCACTGTATTCTGAGGAGGAGGAAACCCCTTCCCTGGGGGTGAACACCTGTTTGTGCTTTTTCTTTAGATCTCAGCACTGTCTGAATTCCCTCTGCTTTCTCTCTTCTTCTCTTACACAGTTGCTGGTACTGCACAGGTCCTGAGGCCGTGGCCCAATTATTTTCTACCTTCTCCTGCTTTAGAGGCTCGAGGGTATATGCTACCATCTAGTTTTATTCTAATATTGCCATGAATTTTGGTTTTACTGTACTGATTGCCCTGTCTTTTTCAGTTCAGAAGATTAAAAATTACAGTTTCAATGTCATTTTTAATATCCTTTTTGCTCTTGCTTACTGAGTGAACTTGAAAAAAAATGAGTTTTTGGTAGGTGTATTAGTTTGCTAGGACTGCTGTAACAAAGCTCTACAAGTTGGATGGCTTAGGTGTGGGAAACTAAAAGTATAAGGATCAAAATGTATAATTGTTAATGTGAAATGGGAAGAAAAGGTCTAAAGGGGAAGGGGAAGTGGAATGGGTAGGAGAAAGGAAAGAAGGGAAAGGAATAAGTATGAGAAAAAAATGGAAACAAAGCCTTTGTAAATAGGGGAGGGGTGGACGGGTTGAAGGGAGGGCAGGGGAATGGGGAAAAATAAGAACCAAGATAACATTATGTAAAGGTACAAGTTCCCAGTGATGAATGTCATCACATTGTATACCTAAAAAGTACCAATAAACTTCATGACCCCCCCCCAAAAAAAAAAAACTTATTCTGAGGGTTTTGGAGGCCGGAAACTGAGATCAAAGTGCAATTCTCCCTTGAAGTTGTTGGAGACAAACCTTCCTTGGCCTCTTTCCTAGCTTCTGATGGTTCCTCATGGCCCCTGGCTTTCCTTGGCTGTGGCCCTGATCAACTGCAGTCTCTGCTTCTGACATGGTAATAACTGTCCCTTCTGCTTCTATGTTCTCTTTTATCTCTTATGAAGACATGTGTTGTTGGGTTTAGGACCCACCTGGATAGTCTAGATTTTCTCATCTTGAGATTCTTTACATCTGCAAAGACCCTTTTCCAAATAAAGTTATGTTTCCAGGTTCTGAAGTTAGGAGGTAGACTTCTTTTGAGAGCCACCATTCTACTTATTGCAGGGAGAAGAAGACTGATCTTAAATGACAATAAATTCACATATTTAAAAAAATTGTACAGGCAAGAATGAAACATTTCTGCCTTTTGGTTTGGCTTCGAAACTCCCCCTTCCATTTATGCCTTCACTGTTGTCTTACAGTACCAAACATCACTGGAGATAAGACTTTTTTTTTTCTACCTGAAACAGACTATTTATGCATAGTGGAAAAGTGCTTTATTCCTAGTTCCAGTTTTGGCATCACTGGGTTTATGGCAGGAATTCTAATGCATTTTTTTCTGAGGTCACACTATAATCCGGAATGAACCTGTTTTTTCTTGTGCCTCAGTTGAGGTCAAAGAAATGCTTTGTTTTGATGCTTTCCGGACTACACCATGAGTAGCCAGCCTGCAGAGGCTGGGGGTGGGGTGGGTAGAGAGTAGTTCCTCTTGTTATATCCTGCTCCTTCCTTGACTGCTACCAGAAAGTGACTGCATTGCAGATGTAACTCCAGAACCAATTGCATTTTGCCTGCCTTCTAAAGATTGTTATATTGGCTGTTTCTGAAAATCCTGGCTTCCAAATGAAGTGAACCTAGAAGTTAATACATTTTACTTGGGGACACTGCTGTACTTCGGGGGGCAAGGTGTGAGATTGGGGCAGGGTGTGGAGAAGGGAATACCTATAACTCAACAGGTGGTCCCATATAGAATTGTTGTTTTACCATTTAGAACTTTTACTGAGTGTACCCATTTAATTTTTCCCAGTTATATAAGCAATATATCTGTTTTGTAAAACACCTGGAAAATAAAATCGTTTCAAATCATTTATAATAGCTGTCAACAATCAGTGACCACCCACTTCCTAGGACTGTGTAGCTTCATTGATTTATTTAACCTGAAGTGGAATCTTATTTATTTGACTTCCTTTGGTTTTTGGTTAAGCTGAATATTTTATGCTGTCTCTGGTTAGGCTTTCTCTGTCCTTATCCATGGCACAGTTCTTTGTGGTCACTTTTTTTGTGTTCTTAGTGGGTAACCAGATGTTCTGTGCTAATGATGGGAGGGGTGATGCTGGCAAGTCTTTGTTCAGATTTTCTTGTAAGGTTCAGACATCAAACTGTGTCTCATTAGCTTTCAATCTGAATGTTTCCTTCTTTCTTATCTTTTTATCTCTTATCTTGCAGCTGATGGTGAGACCATTCTAAAAGGTCTGCAGTCCATTTTCCAGGAGCAGGGCATGGCAGAGTCGGTGCATACCTGGCAAGATCATGGCTACCTAGCAACCTACACAAACAAAAATGGCAGGTGAGGTGGTCTTGAAGCTTCTTTAGATCTGGGCTCAAGGAAGAGCAGAGATGGGGGAAAAATAGGGGCCGAGGGTCATGTCCAGGTAGTTTTTAAATCTTTGAAAACTCTTAGGGGTGGTACAGTTCAGTGCTTCTCAGTCATAGCTATATGTACATTAGAATTTCCTGGAAAGAGCTTTCACAAAATACCTTTGGCTGGGCATTTCACCCAGAGATTGTGAGGCCACTGGATCTGGACATGAGTATCTGTAAAGCCCAAGCAGTTCTACTGTGTGACTAGAATCAAGAACTCCCAGCAGCATAAGTAGTGTGAAATGGCAGGCAGTAATCTGAGTTGGTTAAGTAGATTCCTGGGCCTCTTTCCCAAGACTTTCTGCTACAGTGGGTCTGGGTTAAGGACCTCTCTGATTGCATTTCCGGCAAGCTCTCTGGTGCAGGTGCTGCTGGTTAGGAGTGACTACCATTAATACAGACCATGGTAAATACAGGATGATAGCTTGTACAAATAGCTTGACAGGGAGCTGAGATGGTCCTAGAGTTTAATACTTTTTTTTAAGACTTTATATAGACTTTGTGTAGTCAATATGTAGTTTAAATGATTGTGTTCTGGAGAGTAGGAAAGAAAACCTAAATTAAGGACTGACCAGGCTGTCATCCTGGCAGTGTAATCAAAGGAGCAAGCATGTGGAAGGCAATTTGGGGAGCTCTCACATAGGACATTAAGTGCCTCTTTTCTGGGGATGGGGTGGGGCGAGGCTAGTGGGCTGGTGGAAGACAAGACAGGGAAGTTGACATAAGCACAAGGCTGATGGGTTTGCAGTGGCTTCAGTGTTACTCAGACTGGTTCAGATTGCTGCTATGGAAGGCAAACAAGTGAAGGTATTTTTTTCCCTTCTCCATGGCTCAATTTGAAAGAGAGAAGAGTGTGCCATGGGCTACTCAGTTTATAGTCCCTGCAGTGTCACAGTCATAGCAACCCCAGCAGACCCTTTTAACACAGCCAGCTGTCACACATGGCTTCCTTCCTGTCCTACTTTCTCTTCTATTAAAAGAAAAAGTAACCACCCCCATTATCTTTAAGAGGCCCAGAAGACAAAGTGCTATGGGGGTAAATTTTACTTTTTGAGCCCTCCCACCAAGTCTGCCAACTCTGTGGCACTAATTTGTGTTCTGGATCCTAATGCCTCATAAAGACATACCGTGCCCAGACCTGCATTGTAACTATGTGACCAAACTCCCTATATGTGCTTAGCAGATTCCTCAAGTGTATCTAAAGTGATTATTTATCTAAAATGATTATTTCTTCCTTAAGGGTAGGTAGCCCAAAGTCCACAACACACCCAAAGCTCTTCCCTGTCCTCTGTGCTCTGCCCAGTTAACAGGGAGGCTCCCAGAAGTGGAATGGCTACAGCTGTCCTCCAGCTCCTCTCTCTTGCTTCCACCTCACAGTTTTTATTGTGTTTCATCCTTTTTGTAAGTGGTGGCCTAGCAAAGGTAGTTTGCCACCTTGGTGGATTCTCCTTTTCCAGGTGAAAAGTTCTCTCATGCCATCTTACAGGCCTTTGCAGCCGAGCCCTGCCTGTGGCAGTTCTTGAAGTTTCTACCACACACAACAATTCCATTCATAGAGAGGATTAGACTTCTTCCCAGAAGGGAATTTATGAGTGACAAGAGCTATTTGGAAATTGCTTCTGAAAGCAGAACAAATAAAAAAAATGAGCATGCTTAGTCTAAAGACATATTTTCCACATTTGTCTCTCTCTCTCCCTCAAAAAGCTGGGACTCATCTCAAGGTGCCTGTCTTGAAAGCCCACTCTCCCCACCAACACATGGGCTCAGGGGAAATAATTGAAGTTCCACACCCTCTTTAAAGCCTGGTTTTTGCTTTCCTAGGTTCGTGTCCTTTTGTGATGAGTGGCCTGGCTCTGGTCACCAGACATCTTTTTTCAGCTTTTCTGTTTCTTTACCCCCAACCTTTTGACTTTCTCTATTTGTGGTTGTTTGCCAAGGAGCTCACAGGCTTGAATTTGGTATTCTACCTCACCTTCCCATATTCTCTGTGTTGTGCATTTCTTTGTTCTTCTCTCACCCGCACCCTTCTTGTCCTTTGTGCTGCTGCTGGAGGGGGAAGGAAATATGATCCACTCATTCAGTGTAGACAGCTTGTGTATAGCCCTGAACTTGGCTTTGAGGCCATTTAAGGGCTGGAGGTGAAAATTAATTAATTTTATTTGTTTTTTTAATCTAAGCACACTACCTATATTCTGTGAACAGAATTAATCTTCTAACTTAATATTTTTTCAAATGCTTCTTTAACTACAGCCTACAGAAAGAAATAACTAATTTCCTAACCCTGGAAATATACGCATTTGTATATATGTAATACAAGTATACACATATAATCAGGGCAAATGTTTCAACAGACATTGTTTTTATTTTTAAAATAACAGCTTTATTGAACAAATTTGCATACCACATAATTTACAAACTTAAAGTGTAAGATTCAGTAGATTTTAGCACATGGACAGTTGTACAACCATGACCACAATTAATTTATATCATTTTTGTTATTCCGAAACAAAACACTCTACCCACTAGCTATCATCAACAGACGTCTTATTTTATGTGATATACTCATATATTTTATTTAAAAAGGGCTGGTCAGATCCACTAAATTAAGGGCCAGAAAACTTTGTCTAAGAACTACATAAGGTTGCTATCCCATGTTTTTTTTAAGCAACTCTTCAGAAATGTAAAACCATTCTTAGCCTGGACAGTGCACCTCTGGTGGCTCTGGTTTGAACTTATTCAATTGCCAGAACTCAGTTTTCCCTTCCTCCTTAAGGTTTTGGTTACTAAACCTGACAAAATCACCCGAGGAAATGTTTTAATATTCACAGATCTTCTGTTTCCTTCTGGGCCTCAGAACCAGTTTTGAAAACCTTGGCACTTGGTGCTACCCTCTAAATCCTCCATAAATGTTTGGTAACTTCTCCTCTTAAAGAGAGCCCCTGAAAAGAAAGCCAGGGTTAACTGTGTAATGGAGGGGAAAGAAAGCAGTGGTCTTTTTATTTGAATGGAGATAGCCTCTTTTTCCTTTGTTGTGTTATGATATAATTCCTCACCTTAAAATTATACTTTGTTTTGTAGCTTCGCCAATTTGAGAATTTATCCACATGGATTGGTATTGCTGGACCTTCAGAGTTACGACAGTGATATCCAGGGCAAAGAAGAAATTGACAACGTTGGTTTTTCTCTATTTATCTTTTATTTATTTATTTATTTTTTCTTACAAAATTTTGCTTTCATAAGGATTGCAAAATCTCTTTAGTTTAATGATGTAAAATTTTCTCTGAATTGCTTACTTCCCATTTAACTTGATTTTAAATTTCCCTCTCTTCCGATGAGTAGTTTTAGAAGAAAAAAATAATTGTCCCTTAGTTGGTTTTGGGAACACACCTGTCACCTTTCCCTTTTAAATTTCGAAGTATGAGTAATGATTTTGCTTTCCTTTTGAGGGCTATAGATGCTTTAACCAGGACTTTTACCTGCAGTATCCTTTAGTTTTCCCCTTCCAAATTGTTTTGTTGTCCTGTGAGGGTTAGTTAGTAGAATTGGGCCAAACCTGGAGGCCACTGTAGGGATGCGGAGGGGCAGATGTATGTCACCACAGCTCTGTCAACCTGGTCTCAGGGTTCTGCTCTGCAACTTAGCTCTTCTACACAGCTTATTCTATAAGCCTATTGATTTCTTTTCTTTTAATTGTAGCTTTTGAACAAAGTAGAAGAGAGAATGAAAGAATTGAGTCAGGCCAGTATTGGGCGGGTGAAGCGGTAAGTCCACTCTTTAATGTCCTTATATATTTGTTTAGTTTGTAAAATAAACAGAACGGCAGTGTTGCCCCCAGAGTGCCTTTTTACGATGTGGAAAAGATGGAAGTTAGTGCCTGCCTCTGGCAACATTGAACTGAGCTCCTGGGACCCTTACACTGAAACACAGGACACGGTGTATGAAAACAAACACATAGAGGCAGGGAACTGAAGGGGACTGGATGCAATGATACTGAAAAGTGATGTGGAGTAATTCCAGGGAGCTAGAAATATGTGAACCGGAAACCCCAGGTAGGGCTGCCCTTTCAGTCAAAGGGGAGCTAGACCCCCTTCTTTCCAAAAGAACCCTCTGCTCATGGTTCTGGGTTCTGGAGTAGAATAAGCAGTTGAAAGATACTTCTGTTGGGGTGAAGTGACAAAAATTTTTTCCTCAAAGCCTTTAAGATACTAAGACGTAAGGTACTAAGACTTGAGAGACCATCCACTATTAGCTTCTATGAGTGGGCTATTTTCAAATGGTAATAAAAAAATCGAAGCCTTCCCTGTCCCCTGGGGGTAGCTAAACACATGTGGCCATTTATTGTTTACTTGGGAATTGAACCCAGAGCCTTGTACACACTAGGCGTTGGCTCTACCTCTGATCTGTATCCTAAGCCCTATGTGTTGTGGCTTAAAGTTAAATGTGAATGAACAGTTAATGTCCTCAGTTATATTAGCCTCGTGTCAGTACCTAGTGACTACTGTATCAGACAGCTCAGATTTGGAGCACATCCTTCAGATAGCTCTGAGGTGTCTGCCAGTGTTGCCAGACTTTAAAGAACTTTGACAGATGTAGCAGTTTTGACATTTATTGGAAGGGATTGGATCTAGTAGTTCATGGGATTTAAATGCTTTGGATATAGCGTCTTATTCTCAGCAGTTTGCTCTTGCCCTGCCTTTGTGGCTCTTTATAAGGCCACAGGGCACAGGAGGCCTGTCACTTGCTCATAAGTTAGGCTCATAGATGGGAAGACAAGAAGGAAGGACTTTGCCAAGATCACTCTATCACTGATGGGAATGATCAGAATACTGGTTTCTCTACTTCATAGTAGTTTCCATAAAAGGAAATCCTTATTGGGAAGGGCTACGATGATTAAGCACTTAATGACTCACTGTATTGAGTTTGATCAGCCCTGGGGCAGGTTTAAGATAACAGGTAATTGTTTAACCTCCTGTAGTTGGAAAGGGAAGCAGGAAACTAAGTGAAAAGAATAGACTGGGTGCAAAACTTGCCCACTTACTGAGTACACGGGTTTTTTTATACCTCACCCAAGCTCAGTTAGGGAGTCTTTAGCCATGTTGCTTTCCCTTCCCCATTTTTTTTTTTTTTTGTGGTGATAGGGATGGATCCAAAGGCTTCATGCACGCTAGGCAAGTACTCTACTACTGAGCTACATTCCAGCCCTTTCAATTTTGAATATGAAAACAACCAGGAATTTCTTATAGATTAAATCAGAAAATACAGTGGTACCTTGCTAGTCATTGTTAATTTGTTCCAAGAGGTGTGATGAACATCGAACAAATTGTTTTGGCTGGAAAGAGTCACAAGGCAATTAACATCAACAAGTTCTAGCTTATACATTGAGTAACAAACAAATGAATATAGGGACAAAATTTTCATGTCATAATATGTCATGTACCCAACTTTTCAAAGCAGTCAAGTACCAAGACTGTATTTTATTGAATATCTTCCACAGTAGGCTCCTCATTGATAATCCCTGTCTTCGTTCCCTATTTTTCTTCTCCCCTACTGCAGCTTTAAACTTCTTACAGTTGACAGGCTAATCCTATAACTAATCCATCCTCACTGTACCATCTTCAGAGGCTGTCAGTTACTTCTTAGCTTGCTATTCCAGTAGAGACTGTACCTTACCCCCGGCAGACATGTATCACAGGCTCCCCCAGTGCTGCCCATTCAGTGGCACTCAGAGGCCTTTCTGCAAGCGAATCCTGGTTGGAAACTCTGTTTCTTACCTCGTGACAATGCCTGAAACTGATCTCTACACACTAACATCTCTGCACAGAGGGGCTTCACGTGTGGCAAAGCGAGCAGGCACCCCTCTATCTGGGCTTTAGTACATAGAATGGGGATTGGGCCTGGGAGGGCTGGGGGATGCAGCAGCTACCTGAATTGAGGTCATGACTATTGCCTTTGCAAACCAAGCCGGGAAAGAATGACAGTGGTGGGTGGCCAGGATGGGGATAAGGGCACTGGAGTTCCTAGCCTGGCTCAGTTGAGCTTCACTCTCACTTTGGTGCTGCATTTTTTGGGGGTTACCAGGGATTGAACTTGGAACCTTGCGCTTGTGAGGCAGGCAGCGGTGACACCACTGAGCTAAATCCCCAGCCCTTCACTTTCACTTTGGGACAGCCAAGATAATGCTTCTTTCCCACACTTTTCTGCTCCATTACCTCTTTTCAGAACTAGTGCTCTGTGATTCTTAAATCAGTGAAAAGGTCCAAGAGCAGCCACATGTACCCCCTTCCTTATTCTTTTTTTTTTGTATTGGGGATCAAACTTGGGCCCTTGCACTTGTGTGGCGGAACCACTGAGCTAAATCCCTGCTCCCCCCTTCCTTATTCTTAAAAATACATTCACACCCACACCACTTTCTGGGCACTTCATCTTTTCCTGCTTGCAGAGTTTTCCTTATTTGTAGCCATTTGAATGTTCTCACTGTGTGGAGAAATGAGTTGACCCATGTTAAAATACACTCTGATTTTCTTCAGGGTTGCTCTAGGAGTGAGAAGATAGAATGCATTTCTGGGCTTTCAGCATCATGAGAAGTCCGGTTCTTTTTATATTTTGGTGTAAGGGTTTTCTTAGATTGGAGTTAAGCTTTAGGTTTTCATTTCAAAATACAGAACTTGGTTTTGCTTGTCACAGTTTTTGTATCTTTTCATAAAATAAGGATGAGAAGAATGAGAGGTTAGGAATATCTCATCATATGCCTATTGTTATTGGCCCCAAACATGACAAATATTTTACTTTTTGGTTTGGGAAATAACGTAGTTAAGAGATGAAATCATAACAGATAACTCAGTAATATCTCATATTACTGTTCCCCTTTGGCTGATGAATTAAATCTGAATTTTGGACTAAGAAGCCATGTGGTTTATCTAAAAAGTAATTCTTTCATTGTACTTTGAAATGAAAAGGAACAAGAAAAGAAGCTCACATAAGTTACGTTTCTTGCACCCTATCCGCACACACACCTTGCTGGGGATGGAGCCCAGGGCTTCAAGCATTCTAGGCAAGCGCTCTACTGCTGAGCTACACTCCCAGTTTCATTTCTTAGAAAATTTCTTGAATTTACAGTGTGCCTGAGGCCCAGCACACGTTCCACCTTGTTGTCTGCAGTCTATTTCTAACTTTCAGCTGTGAAGTTTGAAGTGAATTTTGTAGGCTCCACAGTGTCTCCTGGCAGCCCATTATGGGGAGATGCTCTTTATGCTTTATGGGTTGAATACTCCAAGCAATGGTTCCCACATCCTGTTAGAGATTCTTGTTGCTTCCTTGTCAGTCTTTCAGAACCATTGTGTTGCAGTGGAGAAGAGAGCTCTTCAGCTTAACCCTGGCATTATTGACACAACTGAGAATACACACTGTTTATTTTCAGTGGATTTGTGCCTAGGTCAGTATTGCTTGTAGCTGCTGGCTATCAACCAGGGGGTAGGTTTCCTGCCCTGAAAGATGTGACTTTGTATTTGTCAACTTTCATGAGGGCCACCTTCCTGGTGACTCATTTCCCCATCTTACTTCTCTTCACTCCCCACTGCCCACCATGGCTGAAGGAGGCTTCTTCCAATTCCTGTGTGCCAGCTGTCTCGGGGCTGTCCTGATTAGGGCTTCACCTTGTACAAGAAAAACCTCTGGTCTGCCCAGTGTCCTGAAAGCTGGATTTGTTTACCAGAAAGGTGAAGTTGTTCAGTCACAGGTTGTTAGCTTCAATAAGAGTTCATGGGAATTTGTGTTGTCTAATGCTCTTTGCAGATGTTAGTATTTTCTCAGAGAAAGCCTCATTAAATTGTAACAGGTTCAGGCTGTACTCTTGGAAACAGATGAAAAGGGAGTGGGAAGAGACTCATCAGTCAGGCAGGGGCGGTGTATTCCAGCCACGTGGGTGTCTGTGACTATATCATGCTGTATTACTGTTCAACACTACTGTGCCTGAGAACACAACTCACTTGCTGCTCCTCTGTTATGCTGCAGTGTGTTCTCATTTTCTTTGTGTTTGGGTTAGATTCTGCAAGTCCCTTTCTAGGTCTCTTTTCTCCTGTCATTTAGTGTCCTCTGCTGGTAATTTCTAGTATATTCACCCTATCAGAAAAAGTACTGTATTTACAAAAGCATAGAATGAGAAAAACCATCATTTTGCAGCTACTCAAATAATAAATATTTTAAGCAAGAATCTTCTAGATGGGTTGGGGGTGGATTCCACCACAGCCTGCTTAGTAACTTCAAAAGATGGGAAGGGACCTTTGTAAATACTAATGCCACTGTGCCCAAACGATCACAAATTCTGCATCGCCAATAGCACAGTCACAACTGTTATGTTCTCGATGAGACATCTGTGTAGTGTATGTCGACCTGACTCTATAATCATGAAGAAATCAGGTAAATCAACATGAGGGATTTTTATGCACAATTCCTGGTCTAGACTTTTCAGAGATATCATGAACATTTTTTTGTTTTTGTTTTTTGGTACCAGGGATTGAACTCAGGACCTTGTGCTTACAAGGCAGGTGTGGTACCACTGAGCTAAATCCCTGACCCAAATATTATTGATATTTCATCATTAATTTTTTTTGTGGTACTGAGGATCAAACTTGGGACCTTGCACTTGCAAGGCAGGCAGCAGAACCGCTGAGCTAAATCTCCAGCCCTTCAGAGATAATCATGAAACACAGTAGAATAAATCAAAGAATATTTTAAGTGAAATGAATTAAAAATGAAAAAAAACCAGTAAAATACAGTGTATGAACCTTTATTCAAAAGCAGAAAAACTGTAAAGGACATTATTGGGATAATTAGTAATTAGGGACACTTGAAGATGGATTCTGTAATAAGATTTCATCGACATGGTCCTTTGTGACTAGTAACAGCAATGTGGTTATACAAGAGGTCTTAAGTGAAGTACTTGCTGAAGTATTTGGGAGTGAAGTGCCATATCTACAGTGGACATTTTCTCCTTTAACCTTTTATTAGGAGATATTAGAAGCATGCCAGAAAGGTTTTAATAAAGATAAACTCTTATGTACAATAGTTGATACTTGGTGTCAGTAATGGTTGTAAAAAAGTAAATGCCAAAGCCTTGTGTTCAATTTGTTCTCTCAAGGAGTCTGCCTGCAGCGTATGGCTTTATTTTACATGTTCTTGACAGATCCATCCCCTCATAAGGTGGTGTTCTAGAAAGGTTCATTCCTCTTTCTTTTATTTCTAGTTTGCCAACCATAGTCCGAGGAGGGGCCATCGACAGATACTGGCCCACTGCTGACGGGCGCCTGGTTGAGTATGACATAGATGAAGTAGTATATGATGAAGATTCACCTTACCAGAACATTAAAATTCTACATTCAAAGCAGTTTGGAAATATTCTCATCCTTAGTGGGGATGTTAGTAAGTACTGCATCCCCTTCCTGATTGCCTAGTAAGGTGGTAATGTGTTGGATGATAGTGTTTTCCTTACAGATACATGTCATAGATTTGTCCCAAGTTTGTCTGACACCGCTATCTTTTAAGATGCATACTTAACTTCACATTAGCCTGTGCATGGTGTGGGTTTTCATGTATACTTTGTCTTGACATTACTTTTTCTTGTAATGAGTAGTTAGATTGTATTTTTTTTAAAAAAGTACAATTGCTTATTTAAAAAAAAAGCTTGTCATGGGAAAATTCAAACCTGAGTACTGTATGTACAGTGAACCCCTGATTTACGAACAAGTTCTGTTCTGGGAGAAACTTTGCAACTTGGATTCGTTTGTAATCTGACAAAAAAAATGAGTCATATATTATACAGCACATCTGTGAATCTTTTCGTTTATAATCCGACAAAGTGATTCTTATTCATTATACAGTACATCTGTGAATCTTATACAGTACACCTGTGAAAGTTTGCAAGACAAATGTTTGTAAGTCAGGGACTTCTTGTATAAACCAGTATGATAAACTCACACGTACTCATCATCAAGCATCAGTAATTATTTACTAACTGCTAGCCAGGCTTATTTCACCAAAACTGTTGTGCATCTTGTCCATGTCATATTATTTTGAAATAACAGCCAAATGTCACATTATTTCATCTGTGAAGATGGCATTGCTTTTTTTTTTTTTTTGTTACCAGGGATTGAACTCGGGTCCTTGCGCTTGCAAGGCAGGCCACCAAACCGCTGAGCTAAATCCCTGGCCCTAGATGGCATTGCTTTTAACTGTCCATATCAGCACATTATTAAGACTGAATTTTCTTTGCATTGATTAATGCCATTTGTGTTAGGCATTAGATGCACAAGTGACAACCTTCCTTGCATGTTACTGACGGTTTTGCAAGATTGAAAACATTTTTTTTTTTTTGGTACCAGGGATTGAACTCGGGTCCTTGCGCTTGCAAGGCAGGCCACCAAACCGCTGAGCTAAATCCCTGGCCCTAGATGGCATTGCTTTTAACTGTCCATATCAGCACATTATTAAGACTGAATTTTCTTTGCATTGATTAATGCCATTTGTGTTAGGCATTAGATGCACAAGTGACAACCTTCCTTGCATGTTACTGACGGTTTTGCAAGATTGAAAACTTAACATTTTAGCACTTTGTAGTGAGGTCAGGTGGTTTGTGTACTTGAGTGGAGTCACCATTTGGATTTCTATTTCTTCTCCCTAGATTTGGCAGAGAGTGATTTGGCATATACCCGGGCCATCATGGGTAGTGGCAAAGAAGATTACACGGGCAAAGACGTACTGATTCTGGGAGGCGGAGATGGAGGCATATTATGTGAAATAGTCAAACTGAAACCAAAGATGGTCACTATGGTAGAGATATCCTTTATTGCATACGAGAACAAGTTCAGCAGGCTTGTTTTGTTTCCTTTTTTCTTTTGTATCTTAAACTCAAGTGTCATAGACTCAAGGCAAGTGTGTTAGATAGAGTGCCTTGAACAAACATGTCAACTTGGTACTAGTAGCTTTTTATATGGCCACCAACAAAGAGGCAGAGATAATGCAGTTGAAGATTAGACAGTGGCTTTTGAACCCTGTCTGCTGCTTAGGGGCTGCCAAAATGGCTTCCCTAAGCCATTTTATGAGAAGAAAAGAAAATTCATCTCCTTTTGAATGTCCTTAGTGTAAAAGTAAAAATTAATTGTAATTTTATCTCATCAGTACTGTTAATTTATGGTACTCAAATTTGTATTATAAAACCTTTATGCTTGTTTTAATCTTACTTTTTGCTTTTTTTTTTTTTTCTTCCAGTATTAGGGATAGAACCCAGGGCCTCATGCATGGTAGGTGCGTGCTCTACTATTGAGGTATATGCCCAGCCTTAACTTTTTTTTTTTTAAATGTTATTGTTTTCAGAGTTGTTTGATATATACACATTCTCCTTAACCTGTTTTGGACATTGACCAAATGGTGGTCGACGCATGTAAGAAATATATGCGCAAAACATGTAGTGACGTCTTAGACAATCTTAAAGGAGACTGTTATCAGGTAATTATTTTTTTCTGTTAATGTATTTTTTTCTTTTTCTTTTGGTACCAAGGATCAAACTCAGGTCCTTGCACTTGCGAGGTAGGTGGCGGAACCATTTTCTGTTAATGTATTTTTAAGTCAACTGATAATGTATAAGTTACTGTTTGGAATTGTGCTTTCTTAATGCAGCTTTTAGCATAATTGGTTAAGAAGATAGATTGTCTCCTTGTGTGAGTTAAGTGAATATTTATATTTAGAGTAGATGTATACAGATAATAAAACAGAAGCCTCCAACTCCAGATTCTCTAAATTAAATCATATTAATTCTTTTTGCTGTTGGGATCAAACTTGGGACCTTGTGTATGCTGCACACACTCTACCACTGAACTCCATCTCCGCCCACATTAATTTTTGTATAAAAGATGTTATGTACCTTTTTATGACTTGGCAACCACTACCTTTTTTTCCCTATCCTGAGTAATCTCTTTGAGCCTTTGTCTTTCATGTGGAATTAAAATGTTTGAGGTAGGAGCAGTTGCTTCTGGCTAACAAGGGATTAGTTTCTGTCCTAAATTCTACTGTGCTTAAAAGTTGACCAATTACCATGATTGTAGAATACACTTTGTATTGTCTTTTTTTGGATGTATAGTTTTGATGCCCATTCCTGTAGGGCTTTTTAGAAAAAGATATCCAAACAAAGACTCTTTTTAACAGATTCTTAAATGTGTATTTCCAGATTTATGAGCAATTTAGATGAGTTTTAATATGTAAATTATTTAGCACCCTCTCATTAATGTACATATGTATGTGCATCTAAATTGATTTCATAGTACATGCATGTTAATTTTTAAAATTTGAGATAAATTCTCTCCATATTGAAATGCAGTTGTGATTGTTTTGTAGGCCAAAAGGAAAGAACAGTATAAACTTAGCTCATTCTATTTGAAAGTGTAAGAAGGGAGTGGAGAATTATGTTCTTTAGAGTACTTGGTGTGTTGACTAGTGAGCAGAGTACTTGAATAGTGAGCTCAGAGGTAACATTATTTACAAATATTAGGTCAGGTATGTTTAATCCTCACACCTATGTCTGGTGAACATTACTTCTGTTATAAAAATGAAGATGAAGCTTACAGAGTTTAAAGGGAATTAGTTCAAGGTTATAGAGTAACCTTAAAGGAATATGGCACAAAGTCCTGTCCCTTGGCTTCTTATGTGGCTTTGTTAAATGAATTCAGAAAAGACCAGAAGTGCAAGCCCAAAGTATCAGTATGGTTGAGTTGTTGGCTGTAGAGGCTGGATATAAGTAGGAAGATTGTCCCGGAAAGCAACCTCTTGATCTGAGAATTGAAGTGAAGACAGGGCACTAGTAGTGACTCAGTTTAATGTGTGAGGCAAGGGAAAAGTACTCTGTGTGTGTGTATGCAGTGTGTTTCAGTGTTCAGTGATAGGCATTGAAAGTATATGTGAATGGGTAGTGTTAAGTCCACCTTTATAGGAACCCATAGTAACAAATCCCACCTTGTTTTTGTAGAAAGCTGGGCTAGAGGGCCTTGGTGCTTGAGTGCACTCCACCTGGCAATGGCACAACCACCAGGGGAAGCCTGGAATATTCTTCTCTGGATGAGAGTTCTCCTGAAGCTTTCAAGGCGTGGGGGACTGGGTAGGGGACCTTGTCTGTCGGGGAAGACCCATTTAAATACCTTCTCCTAAGGGCAAACCAGCCCATTGACCAATAACATACTGCCATTGAAAAGGTTCCAGATATTTCCATCTGTTTGTCATTTGAAAAGCAGATATCTCAACATTTATTTAGAAAATAGAAAATGTTCTAAAGTGCCTCCATTCTTTTTATAATGATAGAATAAAACTTTAATACTGAAATAAATACTGAAAGAAACTAAATATTTATTATATACATTTATACACAAAGTTTCCAAGTAAAATAGTAAGTTAAATCTACACCTTAGAAGTTCTGTGGTAAATCCAAGTAGAATTTAGTTCGGACATGTAAAGATGTGAACCTTAAGAAACCTGTTAACATAATTATATAAATAATTCAAAGGAGAAAAATAAAAATTAATAAATGACAGAGTTTGAGAATACTTACTTAGTGGTCATTCTTAATAAAAATTCTTGGCCTGGGATTTAGCTCAGTGGTTCTGTGGCCTGCCTTGCCAAGAACAAGGATCCAAGTTCAATCCCCGGTACCAAAAAAAAAAAATAAATAAATAAATAAAAATTCTTTAGGTGAAATAAGATTGCAATAGAAGGAGTCACTGAAACAGAAACCGTCAGAAACTTAACTGGACAGTTAGAAAATATAGTAAGTGGCAAAAGCCATCTCCACTGAAACTAGGAACAAAACGAAGATTCTTATTACCTGTGTTCAATTTTTTTTTTTTCGTATCAGGGATCGAACTCGGGCCCTGTGCTTTCGAGGCAGTCGGCGGAACCACTTGTTCAATGTTGTTTTGAGGCTGCTAAGATAGTAAGGCAGAAAGATGGGAAAAGTAATTGCTGATGAAGCTTAGAAAATCTGGGTAATTTATCTAGAAAATTATCTGGATTAATGAGAGTTTGATAAAGTGTTAAATAAGCACTACATTTTTTCTCTATGCTAAATGCTGAACAGCTTGAAAGAAAATGAGGTGTAGGTATGAAGGGCATCCTAGTCAAAGTAATAATCAACTGCTCAATACTTAGGAATAAGCAAAAGTGGTATTGTGAAACTGATCTGAATCAAGATAGGATGTTATAGCTAGGCATAGTGGTGCATGCCTGTAATCCCAGCACTGGGGAGGCTGAGGCAGGAGGATTGCTGTGAGTTCCAGACTAGCCTGGGCTACATAGTTTCCAGGTCAGTCTCAACTACACAGTGAGACCCTGTCTCAAAAAACCAAAAAAAAAAAAAAAAAAAAGGATGTTATACAGAGACATGAAAACTGAATATGTGGAGAAGCATGTATTTCTTGCACTTTTTTCCAATTATAAGTAATTCCAGTCAGATTCCTGAGGAAGGGTTTAGAATTAGCTTAATTGATTTTAAATTTCATTTGTAAAAAAGAATAGCCAAATCACAGTAAAGGGAAATTTGTCCCATTGGTTGGTAATTTACTGTAAGGCAGAGTAATCAGATAGGAAGTATGTCACAGGACCAGTTAGAGGAATGCCATGGTAACTGGAACATGGTTGAGTGTTAGTCTTGTACACACTGCTACTTTATGGCCTAAGATGCCCTTCACGTTTAGTTGATTTCATCAGCAGGGTCAGCATAATGGACTGTCGATCTGGTGAGAAGAAAGTTAGCAACCTAGAAACCATAGAAAGAGGAATTTCAGCAGCTTAAATTCTAGGTATAAAAACTAAATGATTTAGGAAAATTTAGAGTATTTACCCTCAGAGTTGAGAAATACTTTTAAAAGCAAGACACTCAAACTGTTACTGGTATTTTGTTGTCATTACCAAGTGAAAAGACCGGTGAGAGAATGTTTTGGTAACAGACATGATTGGGAGTTAATCCCTTGAGTAATACAAATAACCCCTACAACTTAAAATTTAAAATTGAAGTTAGCTAAATTGATTAGGGGTAAAGGATATGAACTGATGCTTCTCAGAAGAGCAAAGTCAAATGACCTGTGAAAAAAGCACCCTGTTGGTGACTCAGAAAGTTCATTTGAAATCATTAGCAACAGACTGCATAATTTAGGAGAGGGACAATACTCCATGCTAGGGAGGATGCAAGGAAACTACTGCTTGTGTGAGTTCTTCGTTAGAACATGAATTTCTATCAAAACTCAAAATCAAACCATACGTGGCCTTTACCTGGATAACCCAGTGATTAAGCGCCCAGCCCACAGACTAAGGCATTCACACAAGATTTACTCTGACTGTTTTTAGAGGCCAGGGCTTGGCAATGACAAAAATAGAATGTTTTTAGTAAAATGATGTCATTTTAAAAATAAATTTTATTACCTGGAAAAAATGTTAGGCAAAAATGTTGAAATGCAGAATGTGTGTGATTCAAGTTTTACAAAAGACACAAATTTGTGTTTGTGTATATGGATATTCTAAGAATCTGTATGAGCATGTGGAAAAATTACTACCATATCAAATGGGATTAATACGTACACTGTAGACAGCTGAGGGGTTAGTACACTATCTTTGCTTAGTTGAACTTGGATGGTGCCTTAAGTAAAGCAAGTTATAAAACAGTAAATGGGAGAGTAAATTTTTTTCAAAATCATAACTCATAAAAATACAAAATGTCATAGGGAGTTGTGGCAGATTTTTGATATCTAAATTGTTATACATGAATCTTTTTGTAGTTAGCAGAAAGCTAAAAGATAATAACTTCTTGTCTTAGGGTTTTAAGAAGAGCCAGATATGTCCTCATATACTTCAAAAATAAGGCAAATCCCCAAATTCTAGACTTATTTCCTGTACACAGTAATAGTCTTCCCTTAGCCTTGAGGACTATGTTTCCAAACTCAATGGATGCCTGAAACTGCATGGTCCCAACCCCTGTATATGCCATGTGTTTTTCCCATCCAGAAATGCCTATGCTGATGATTTAAATTGAACATAGTAAGAGAGTAACCATAACTACCACCAATAAAGTAGAAAAGTTAAAGAAAACACTATAATGAAATTGGCATCATCACTACTCTTGTGCTTTGGGGCCATTGTTAAGTAAAATAAAGGTTACCTGAACATACACACTGCGATACTGCAGTCTGATAACTGTGACAGCTACTAAGTGACTAATGGATGGGTTTGGTATACTGTGTGGAGATTTGGGACAAAAGGATGTTTCATATCTTAGGTGGGGTAAGGTTTCATCATGCCAAACACAATTTAAAACTCATAAATTTTCTTTGTGGGATTTTCCATATAATATGTTGAGGTTGAGGTTGGCCATGGCACACTGAAGCCATGGATAGTAAAACTGTGATACCAAAGCACTAATATACATACTTCACTATGTAGGATCCATATGACAATTCCAGTCCTTAACTGCTGTTCTCTATCCTTTGGTGACTCTTCTGTAGTGGAAGCTGGTATTTAGGACTTGAATTTATTATCAGCATACTTAGACTATTTGAAAAACCACCATAAGTTAATAATTAAGGTGTAAAACTCAAACAACACGGTCATTCAGTGTTTAGTACAGAAGAAAAGAGTAGAGGAAAGCAGAGCTAGGGAAGGCAGTCTGGATCAGAGTTAAAAGTATGGACTTGCTTTTGGTGTATTTCTTGCCTCTTAGTGCCTTTGGGCAAGCTATGTAACCTCGCTTAAGTTAGTTTCTACCTGTAGAGTTATTGTTTAGATGAGAATGCATATAGGGCATACACTGATCACTTAATTTTTCGCTATTACAGACATGGATGGAGGTCTTTGTATGACAGGTGCTGTGGATTTAAGTCATAGGTTGCACTTTCCCCCATTCCTCTGCAAATGTTGTTTAACTACATGTATATGTGTTGGCTTACTCATATCCTGTTCTCTCTGGAAGGTTCTAATAGAAGACTGTATTCCAGTACTGAAGAGGTACGCCAAAGAAGGGAGAGAGTTTGATTATGTGATTAATGATTTGACAGCTGTTCCAATCTCCACATCTCCAGAAGAAGGTAGGTTCTGTTTTGTGTTGTTAATTGTGGTAATTGTTCATGGAAATGTTTTCTCCAGGTGAAAGTGAAAGGATCTTAGAGATGGTCTAGTTAACGCTTGCTCATTTTATGAGGGGAATTAAACTAAGGCCCCTTGTGGAAAGATAGCTGGATTTAGATTTAACTTTAATTCCTGTTCCACCATTAAATGAATGAATTAAGTCAGCTACTAGGAAAAAAAAACATGAATTGAAATGGCTCATAATCATATCATTTAGACATTATTTGATAATTTGTTTAAATTATGTCATTTTCATAAACTGATGACTTTTTTTTTTTGGTACGGGGAATCAAACTCAGGACCTTGCACTTGCAAGGCAGGTGGTGGCACCACTGAGCTAAACCCCCAGGCCCCAAACTGATGACTTTTAAAGCAAGGACAGAGACACTCCCCCTTCTCAAGTCACATACCCCAAATCTCTGCTGGTGTGTTACTATTTTCTCTATGAACTTGACTTCCTGCTTAGTTTACAAAATGGGGTCTCAACCTGATGATCCTTACAGCTTTGCTGGGACTTTTGCTGTCTTCCCTCTTAAAACCCTGCCATTGTGTTGAATCACTATTTCTTAGGGGTGGGGGGAAGGGGATGGAACCCAGTACCTTGCACCATACTAGGCAAGTGCTTCACCACTGAGCTACCCTGCTAGGCCTTTATATTAAATCTTTATTGGTGGTGGGAGAACAGTGCCGAATGGATGCATATTTGATTTTGACCTTGGCATTTATGTGTAGCATGCATGTGAGATATCAGCTATGTGACTATATATTATCGTTCTGACAAGCTTTCAAATATTGAATGGGTCTCAGGCTCATGGCTCTTCTGGTTATATCGAGCAGCACAAATATTTGATGATTGGTGTTTTTGATGCATGCAAACCCATATTTGTACAACTTAATTTTTTTAACGTCCAGATTCCACATGGGAGTTTCTCAGACTGATTCTTGACCTCTCAATGAAAGTATTGAAACAGGATGGGAAGTATTTTACACAGGTAGGCTATTTGTTTTTTCCCTAAGATTCTCAATGAGAATTTTGTATTTTAAAGTTTGCATATTCTTGAAGTTTCTGTTAAGGCTAGCATAGCACCATTGGATTATGTTCTTTCATGCAGTTGGTTTCTAAATGTCTGACCTTTCATCTCTTGGAAATGAATGAGTTCTTAGCAGGAACCAAAATTTATCCTGATTTGTCAGACTCGGTCTTTAGCTGTAGTATGAGCCGCTGCCACCAGATGGAGACACAGGTTGTTTTTTGTTTTTTGTTTTTTTCCTTCCCTCATCTAGGAGACTTCATTGAAAAAAGCTTTAGCGACATAAACTTGCTTTGCCTGTAGTATGAGGTACTGCCACCAGATGGAAGCAAATTGTGGTGTTTTATTCACTTTCTAGGGGAGGCTTAATTTTCGGAGAAAGTTTGAAGGTGCATTTCTTTTTCTTCTTTCTTCTTTCTTTTTTCTTTTTTCTTTTTTGTACCAGGGATCAAACTCAGGACCTTTTGCTTGCAAGGCAGGTGGCAGAACCACTGAGCTAAATCCCTGGCCCTGAAGGTGTATTTCTTGAAATCTATATAAAATACGTCTATACGCAAAATCTATTAAAATACTTAATGGATGCACCTTGAGACCATTAATGTTAAGTGAAATAAATCAAACACAGAAGCTTAAATATCACATGGTTTCCCTCATATGAGAAACCCATAGTATAAATAATTTAAAGAACAGAATAAAAGATAGATAATAGGAAACAGGTAAATGTTTTGCAAAATGGGAAAGTGATCTAGAGATGGAGGAAGGGAAGGGAAGGAAAAAAATTAGGATGTTTTATGTACATGTACCAGCTCCCCACAATGACTATATCATTGTGTACTGCAAATATGTACCAACAAAATTAAAACATTTAAAAATTTATTTTTCTTTTTTTTTTGGTACCAAGAATCAAACTCAGGGCCTCCTGCTTGCTAGGCAGGTGCTGTGCCATCGAGATGCATCCCTGGTCCTTAAATTATATTTTTAACTGGTGCATAAAACTATAAAAGTTATACATATCATTGGGGGTACCATATGATGTTTTGGTACATGTATACATTGTGCAGCAATTGAATCAGGGTAAGTATCTGTCTCCTCAAGCACTCAACATTTCTTTATGGTAGAAACATTTAGAATCTTTTGTTTTGGCTCTTTGAATTGTGCAGTGGATAGTTGTTCTCATAGTCACCTTACTTTTCAGTAGCACATCAGAACTTCTTGCTCCTATCTAATACTATAACTTAGTACTACTTATTGCTTTTTGTAAATAATAAAGCGTTAGTTCTTCCAATATCAGGAACAGGTTTGAAGTATTAATTTTATTTTTCTGAGGAGGTACTTGCCAGCAGACCCTCTCCTACCCTAGATATTTTCTGGGTTCTGAGATAAATAATGCTGAAAATAACCTAGCAGTTTCAAAACACCTTGACCTAGGCTCCAGCCTGTCCTGTTTCCCTCCTCTTCTCACTGAATACAGGAGCTGCAGACATGTAGTGATTCCTCCTGGACTTGGCTCTTGTGAAAGGTTTGTGAAGCTTCTAGGAGAGCAAATAACTAAGAATATTTTTTGCCCCCTGATGTATAGAAATGATCTTTTAAACACATTCTAGACTTGATTCGATTTATAGCAGATCTGGAAACTGTGGTCAAGATTTGGCCTCTTGCTGTTTTTGTACTTTTCATGGCACGTGGCCATGCCTGTTTAGCACGCATTGTCAGTGGCAGTGAGGAATGTTTTTAAGGGAGGCTGTACATTTTGCACAGCCTAAAGTATTTCCTGTCTGGCTCTTTGCAGATGAAGTTTGCTGACCCTGTTTTGTAAGATATCTTCAATAAAACCTGCTCAAACAAAGGGTTCTTAACTAAAACAGCAACCCAGATTCAGCAGGTTAGACTTTTTGTCAGTTGGTATTTCTTAAGCAGAGCATACCTATAGCATTTTATTTCCTTACACATTTCTCCAAATAGAAGAAAATCACATGCAGATTAAGTTGAAGCAGGATACGAAGTTCTGGGATCTTTAAACAAAAACTGAAAGAAGCTGGCTACAGAGATATATCCCTATAATCCTTATTACTTGGGAGGCTGAGGCAGGAGGATCACTAGTGGACTTGGTGTCCAGCTCAGCCTGGACAACATAGCGATACCTTATTTTAAGAAACAAAACAGAGGCAGGTATGTAGCTCAGTGGTGCTGTGCCTGCCTGGCAAGTGCAAGGTCCTAAATTCAATTCCCGGTACGGGAAAGCAAAACAAAACAAAACAAAACAGAGGAGCCTGTGAACTTAGTCAGTTTGTAGTAAACAAAAAGTGGCATTAGAAAGTATGACTTGGTTTCTTTTCATCTGAATATTTGCCTGGTAAGTCTACTGGTAAGTCTACCTCTTAGGAGGGACTAGTATCTTAGAATGGAAGACCAGTAGGAATGCTCGCTTAGAATATCACCATAGTCCATTTGTAAATATTAATGACCTAGGCTTTGATAAGTTCCATTTGCCAACTGACTTACAGTTTCCTCATTTTGTAACACCTGGGGATCGATAATACTGTATATTCACTGGTCAGATGTATCTCAGGTGAGATTTATAGGGACTGAGAGGTGTAAGCTTTTCAGAAGCTGTCCTCAAGTCAAGAAGCAATGTGGTCTACTCGGTGTATTGCTGTAGTTGCCATAGTGTGAATTTTTGGTCCTTCTTTTTGGTGCTGAGATTGAACCCAGGGCCTTGCACAATGTCCAGCGAGTGCTGTTATCACTGAGCTACATCCCCCATGCTTGCGAGATCTCGATTTTTACCATGTCCACCCCTTGCACGAGTGTGCAGCTAAGAATTGAAATAAGGTTAAAAATAAAATGAAAGTGTGTGGTGATTTATAAATGCTAAGTGTTCCTGCCCCAAACTGGTTGTGCCACAGTTAAGAGTTTGTGCTGTCATTGGCTGCTTGAATGCAGCCTTGTTAGCAGGCCGTGAAGCTGGGGGAATGTATTGTAGGAATTTAGCTGGTCCAGGCTAGCCAATAGAGCTCAAATTGCGGGTGGGGGATTGCTTTCTGGTCTAGGAGGCAGGCCCTCATAATGGAGCACCCATATTTCTCTCCTTTATACCTTAATGCATATAAAAATCTGTATGTAACATGGATGTAAGTAAGCTGCAATGCAGATGTGCTAGCAAACTTCTGACCACTTCCATCTCACTTCAGCTAGATGTTGTTAGTACCCTTGACTCTCTGTGTTCTTAATACCTGCTGCTTTCTGGAAATAACCCATTCTTAGTGTCATTTTAAAAATTTCCATATTTTCTTTATAGATGATTCACATAGGTGTGATTTCTCTGTTACTTAGTTGCACTTGCTTTTGAACCTGATAAAAAGGTGTTGCCATAGATGTATTCATTCTGTACCTGCCTTTTATGTTACAGAAATAATATACGCTAACTTAAGTTTACAATATGGAAATGATACAGAAATCTATAAAGTAAAAAAGCAAGTGTGAGAACTGTCTGGAGCTGAAGCTGCTGAATTGCGATTTAACTCCTAGTTGTGCTCCACCCCTTGTCCCATCTCTTCCTTTTGTCCTTAATGGGTGACTAATTCTTTGCTATTACATTTTAATTTCTGAATCTCCCATATATCTTTCTTTTTTAAAAAAGGAAAAAATGTTATTCTATTTAAGTAGACAGGAAAGTGAAATGGATCATGTTACTTTTTTGGGGTAAGTCTATTTGTGGAGTTTCTTCTTTCCTTTTTAAAAACTGCTTCTTGACGATGTTGGGAAAGAGCAAATTAGAACTTGCCCATTTCCTTTCCACATTCTCTGTAAGGAGCTCTTTCCATATTCTCTCTTCAGAGAGAGTGTGGTGTCAGTTTTAAGATGGCAAGGAAAACCATTCAGCTATTCACCTTGGTGGCATTTCCACTCTATAGCTTCCCCAGTGGTGATGTGTTCTAAAAACAACCAGGCAGTGTTTTCTATTTATGAATCGTAAATTATACATGTGGTGTTTATGTGCTCTCATGGTGAACTTGATGTTGAAACCAAATTATATGCTGGTAAAGGGCATTTTGGTCAAACCCCACTGCAGGACCCTAGATGATGGGTTATTAAACAGGCTGGCTCTGGGGGATAACGTCATGCTGAGCAAGTGTGCTAAGTTAAAGCCACCAAGGCCAGCTCTTGGACATCTCATCTCTTGTCCAGCGCTGACTGACCTCCTGGGTTTGAAATGGCATTCTCAGAAATTCTTACATCATAGGTTGCCTTCCTTTGTAAATAATTTTCACTTTTCATTGTACTTGGCTATTTTGAGACAGATTCATTGTAGAGCTCTTAAGAAAGAATGGTATCAACACATGGATTTGGTAGTCTTCTGAATATTCCAAGTTTTGGTAGTTAAAAAGAACTAGGTGATATTAAATACTCATCTTGTTTTCTAAATGCTACGCGAAAAGCAAGAGGGGGGAAATTGGGCTAAACTCCTGATAAACCCTATGCCAGAGCTAGTAAATCAAAATTTAAATGTCCTGTGATTGATGTGCACACTAAAGATTGAGGAGCACTGCTCTAGAGCTAAGCAAATATGTATCCATACAGCAGCTCTACTGTGTTTTGCCGAGCATTTCTGATTCTCTTCAGCTTTTTTTCCCCTCATTGTCACAGGATGGCTGCTGCAGCTCCATCTGTTACATCTAGCTTATAGACTGGAAGGGGGTTGGAGAGGCCAGTCACTCTATCTTTGCTTGTTCAGAATCAAAAGCTTTCCCAGCTGACTTCTGCATTTCATTGACCACCTCTTAACTGCTGAGGAGACTGAAAAGTGATAACTAAAAAGAGAGAAGAGTTATTACAGTGAAGTGAAGGAAAAGTTTTTGATAAAGAGTGCAATTGGAGCTGGTGGTGTAGCTCAGTGGAAGAGCATGCCTTTGCCTAGAATGCCCTGGGTTCAGCCCCCCCCTCAAAAAGCAAAGGATCTGCAAGATACTCTTAGCATATATGTCTTGAGTGAACTTTTGTTTCCTTATGCCTTAAAATCAGTCACAGATTTTGGGGAAAGGAAAGCACAATGTATAAATACAGTTCCATGTCAACATTTTCAACTTTTAGAATGGTTGTAATTTAAACCATTCTGGAAATCAGGAACATTATCTCTTTGATACTTCATTTTCAACATAATAGTGACCATTATTGATAAAAATTACTTTCAGTGGGTTATGTGTATGACTCTTTGCCAGATTGCCTGGTGTGGATACCATGAACTGTGTCATTAATGAGAAATTGGTCTCACTGCTTTCTATTGCTTCACACTCTAATAATTTGAAATAGCTTGGTAAATGAAGTAGAAGGAGAATGAGCTAATGAGTCTATAAATAGAATTCAATGCAATTTGTGAAAATACCGAGGACTATCTTATTTTTAAAGCTAGAATTGTTCTTCATTAGTACCTTCAAATGTGTAGGACAGACTCAATCCCATTATTTGTTTTTCTGTCTTTGATTTAGGGGAACTGTGTCAATTTGACAGAAGCCCTGTCGCTCTATGAAGAACAGCTTGGACGCCTTTATTGTCCTGTGGAATTCTCGAAGGAGATCGTCTGCGTCCCTTCGTACTTGGAATTATATCCTTTGACCACGACATTGTGTTGCCAGATCAGAACCCTCAAGTAATCATATGCAAATCTTAACATTTTAAATCCTAATAAGCAGGATTAGTTTGGTAGTATAGTAAATGCCAGTTCTCAAACTTGGCTAGGATCTCTGGGGGACTTTAAGAGAAAACACTGACTTTGGGGAATGGCTTCTCAGGTGAATAATTAAGTACCACTGACCCAAGGCAGCAGTTTTCAAAGGCTTCCCAGACCTGTGTCACCAAGAACTAGTTTGATAGGCAGATTCTCACAGAAGTTCTCAGAGGCTTCCTAGACCAGCTGGATCACCTGAGAACTAACTAGATATGCACATTCTCAAGACCTTGCTGTGTCACCAAGAACTAGTTTGATAGGCAAATTCTCACAGAAGTTCTCAGAGGCTTCCTAGACCAGCTGGATCACCTGAAAACTAGCTAGATATGCACATTCTCAAGCCCCACCCTGACCTGCTGACCAGTCAAAAACTTGGAGGTGGGCTCAGTGTCCTGTTTTCATCAACCCTCTTGGGGACTTGGGCACCTGAAAGGCATGAGAAGGCCACGTTTATAATGTTGCCCCATCTGTGGCAGGTAAAAATTCCAGAAATACTCTTTTTACTCGTATTAAAATTGACTACGGGTAGGGATTTAGCTCAGTGGTTCCGCCACCTGCCTTGGCAAGCACAAGGTCCTGAGTTCGATCCTCAGTACCAAAAAAAATTGACTTCAGTTTTAATTCCTATACTTTACTTGATGCTAATTTGCAGTAGAAATTGAGAACTAAAACTGATGGGAACTGCACAGTTTATGTTAGGAGTCCCCATTCAAGTCAGTAAAATTATTCCTGAGGAAGAGGAAAGAACACTGAAAACTGAAATGCAGTCATTCTTAGAAATTTGTATCACCTTTTCTCCTTCTCAGAGGCAGACAGGCTAGAGTCTGCAGTCAGCAGTGTCCCTATCTCTGGTAGCCCAGGCTGTAGTTGTCATTGTCATTAGGGGAGATCCCCAGACTGCTGCCTACCTGCAGGTAGGCTGGGTTCTGCCAGGACAGAGTCCCATGGAGCCAGGTAGCCTGCTGAGGCCAGACGCAAGGCGAGAGCTCCCTAGATCCCTCATGAGAGGAAGGGTTACTTCGCATGAGGAGTAACTGTGTCCTTCTGTGGCCTGTGGAGAGATGGGTCATCATCTTCCATCTGCTGCCTGGCTTCAGGGTCATTCAGCAGTGTTTTGTGTATTTAGGTCCATGACTACGTGTTTAGAGGCTGGAAATTCAGTTGGTAATGTTTTTGGGGAAAGGTTTCTGCCCTTTGGTTCCCCTTTTTCCCTCCTTCCACTTTTTCCTCTTCTTTTTTTCCCTACAGTCTCCTCCGTGTTTCCCTGTCTCTTTTTCTCACTCTGCCTTTCTTTCCCTTCCTTGTTATACTATCTCCCAAAACCTTTCTATGGGATCTTGGAAATAGTAGTGTTATCAGAGAGAATCTCTGTGTTCCTTCAGTTTAGCCTTTTGCCCACTCAGTGTTTCCTTTTTAGTGTTTAGATGGTGCAAGTAGTGAGTGTCCTAGGCTGCAAAGTGGCCTTGTGCAAAGGCTTTTATTTTCATGGTCACACTGTTCTAAGGCATGCAGTTTTTCATCCATCTTTTAATTTGTAGGCCAAGATACAAATGTTAAGTGAGGCCTGTACTGCCTTGAATTGTCTGGTTTCATTCCTTGACTCCCTTTCCAGGTGGGTATTTTACACTGTTTGGAAGAAAGCTAAACCCTAAAGATGAATATCCCAATGACGTGTACTGCAGATAGCCTTCTTGGCCTCCGTATGCTGTACATGCCATCAAAATGAGTCAGGCAATTAATTGTGACTTCCTTAAAGTTTTCTCTTTTTAATTATTATTTTTAATTTAAAAAAGCAAATGGAAAATGTATATTTTGATGAACTAGGGTGTTATTTTTTTGAAAGTCAGCTGAAGGACAAATAGCACAGCAAGGACTGCTAAATGCACTGACCCCCTAGAATGTGATTTTTGTTACTTTTTATTTCTGTGTGGGTTTTTTTTGTTTTGTTTTGTTTTGTTTTGATTTTGGTAGAACTTAAATTTGGATCTTTGGAGGAGTGAGCATCATTATTTTGTTTCAGAGGGAAGTTCTTGATGGTTTTAAAAAAATTGACTTAGATTTAAAAATTTGGTGCTTTTAAAAAAGTTAAAAATGAATAGCAATGCTTCAATTAAAGTTACAAAAGAGATATTTCATGTGTTTCTGTTGTTTTATTTCAGCCCAGTCCCCTTGTTCTCACCATCGATGGGTAGAACCAAGGTATCTTTGTTTTTAGTTCTGTTATAGCATTTGGTATCATTTATCTCTTTGTAATAGAATGACCTTGGGGCCTTTTTTGAACAGTAGTAATGACTTCATTACCACTGCGGGAAGTGACACACAGCCTGTTATATTGACTACTTCATTATAAAGTTGACCTGAGAATAGCAAAGGATCTTGCCTGACTGTAAAGTTGAAAGTCAGAAGCTTACTTCTGTTCTTGCCCTTACTGGTATATTAGATGTGAAAATAAAGATCATTTTGGATAGTTACTGTGAAACTTTCTGAGAAGATTCTTGGATGCTCTGGAATACAGAGTTTGTGGAGAGGTCTGTAACAAACAGAACTTGAAAACTCTCCTAAGAAAATGCATGTGACTCTCAGATTGGTATTGTATTGTGGGCTAACAGTCCACATCAGAGATTAGCATGTATTGACTGAGGTTGTTACAGAAACATTGCAGGGCTGTCATGTTTTACAAAAAAAAAATACTTTATCAGTGAAATCAGTTTGTTTTTGTTGAATTTACAATAAGCAAAATGATAAAAATGAAATATTTGGGGTCCGTTTTGAGATAGAATTAGTGTTGACATAGAACATCTTTCCTTCCAAAGTAGGAACAAATGGTAAAGTATGTAGCAAGTGTTTTTTAAGAATGTAAGCCTACTTTGGGGTTTTTTGTTCCCTTTTTATTGAATTGGTGTGGAAGAAGAAATGGTCTAATAGAATAAAAGGAGCTAGAGAATCACATTGGAACTAGAGAAGTTTAAGAACTGTTTCTCTTGTGCTTGCACAGATTAAAACCCACATTGGTAGACATCCTCCCCATCCCTTTTATCTCTTCTATAATGCTTTGCAAAGGCTGTATTTACTGTTTAGAATTTAAAACTATGGTGCTGTTACTATTAGAATACTGGTCGGAATCAATAGAATTGGATTTCTTTTTTCCATTTTAGGAAAGAAATCATTTGGATACAGTGTTATTAGAGTGGGGGTCCTTGTACTTGAAGACTAGCTTGAGGCCAAGGCAACAGATCTGCTGATAAGTCTGGTGATGCAAGTCCTGCTAAGAACTGAAAGGTAGAAATAAAGTGGGTCAGATTATGCTCAGCCATAGAATATAAGGGAATAAGGGGATAAGGGAATAAGGGAAGTGGTAAGGGGGAAACAAAAGAATGGAAAGTTAAATACTTTTATCTTGGCTGATAATAGTGAATTCTGATGTAGCTCATTTCTTTGTATTGGAGAAAGGATGCTGTCTGATTGTTTGGGGGAGTCATTGTTACTGTTACTGTTTTAAAATGAAAACATGCAGACAGATAGACCCGGGATTTAGCTCAGTGGTTCTGCCAGCCTGCCTCAAAAGCATGCAAACAGAACTCTGACAACTAAAAACCATCTCTGCTTTTGTTTCCTTTTAAAGAAATGTTAAGAGATCTAGCATGTTACTTTGCTTTAATAACTGCAGTGTCTTAGTTCGAGTCACTTTATAATAGAATATAGTGTATCCTATAGCTGCTTTTTTTTTAGCTTTAATTGAGTTTATTGGTACATTTTAGGGATACAGTACAGTTACATTCATTGTTGGGATCTTGTACCTCTACATGACAGGTCTTGATTCTCATTTTTTCCCCTTACCCCTTACCCCTGCCCTCCCTTCACCCCCTCCTCCCCTCCCCATCTACAAACACTTTATTTCCATCTTTTCAATGTCTCACATTTTTTTCTTTTCCCTATTACCCTTCCCCTACCCATCTCACTTTCCCTACACCTTTAGCTCCTTTCTTCCCATTTCTAAATGTCAGTAATCTTATTAGGATCTCATGTATTATTGCAGATTATTTACACCAGAGAAACTATTTGGTATTTACACATGTGTGACTTATTTATTTCACTTAGGAGTATATCTTCAATATGTATCCATTTTCCTATGAATGAATCTATTTTTTCGTTCTTTATGGCTATAGCTGCTTTTTAATGGAGGACAAGAGACATGTGGCTGTAGTTTATATTCTATACAACACATCAACAGATATCAATAATTGATTTATTTAAAAAATTAAATGCTACTTTCTCTTAAAAATGTGATTGAATATTTATAAAACCTGATTAATGGTGATACAGTTGGGCTGGAGGAAGGCCAGGTTGATTTTTTTTTTCTGGTACCAGGGATTGAACTCGGGCCCTTGTGCTTGCAACGCAGGTGGTAGAACCACTGAGCCAAATCCCCAGTCCTTGATGGTGTCTTTTAATGTGCTACAGCACATTACTGATTTCAAAATAAAAATGTGCCATTCCCTGTATGATTTGAGTAGTCCTGTCCTTCCTTCATCAGGGATTCTTAACCTTTTGTGTATCTTGTACTCCTTTGGGAGCTGCCTAGTGAAACTTGTGGGCCCATTCTCAGATGCATCTTTAAAATACACAAACTAGATAAGATTTCAAGGTAGTGAGTTTTTTTAGTTTTCCAAAATTTATGATTTACTATTTGTGCTGCTTTATTAACTTGTCACATAGCTGAATCAAGTAATGGGTCAAATGCCATAAGTTTGAAGTAGCAATAAGCACAAATATTTATAAGATCCATAGCACCTGAAATGTGATAAGCCATCTGATTTCTCTTACTGACAAAGTTATATGAGCTTCTAGTACTCACATGGTTTGTCACCTACATTCATGCCTAAAGGAAATGCTAAATTTCAGTGAAAGGTTAGCGAAGAGAAAGATACAAGTGTTTTCCAATCCAAATTGATAGATGCACAAAATTTTGTCTAGACCCAAGGTTAAGAAACCCTGACCTTGATGCTTCTGTTATTTTATTGGATTTGAGTGGTAGGGAAGGTAGGTGGGTTCCTTCACCCCTCTGTCAGAATGTGAAATCAACTCTGGCAGGTCAGTTCTCCTCAGCCAGAACCATTAAAAATCTCAATTACCTGATGCATTCATTCCACTGATTTTTGCTTTACTCATTCTTTCAAAAATGAGGAATAGAACATTAGCAAGAAATAGCCTAGTGCTTTTGGAAAGCTATTTGAATACGCTTGGATGCAGTTTTGCTGAGAAATCAGATGATTAATGTGACTGGACAGGTATACTAATCTTTTGTTTCTGAGGATCCCCAGGATGGCCAGGCCAGCTCATTAATGCAGACAGTTTCCCCATGCAACAACCAACCATATGATCATTTCAGTGAGCAATTCCTTCATGATAAAGCATTAGGGAGTAGGCCCATCTCTTTGCAACTTTGCCCAGAAATGTACCAGAATAGACATTTTCCTGGGTAAAAATGCAGGCTGAACAAGCCTATTTTGACAGAAGACCTTGGTGTACAGAGGGGGAGGTTTAGAGGGTTACCCAGCCCCTTTTCCCAAAGATGGAAAGCCCAACACAGTAAAGACTCGCAAGTGTCAAGTCTGTAGAGGTTGGCATTGATTCTAGTGTTAATCGTTAGAGAATATTACTAGTTCCACCTATTAGGAATCCTTCTATCTTTCTTTCTTTGTAGCACTGAGAATTGAACTCAGAGCCTGCTGCATGCAAGCACTCTTGTGACTGAGCTATATCCCCAGTCCTTAGGAAATCCTTTTTTCTTTGTTCTAAAATATTCTCTATTTTGGTTAATGATTGTGTTAGTAGCTTTGGATCATGCTGAGTGACATTATACTACATTTCATATTGTCTACATTCTAAGTATTCTGCCTTGGCCTGAGTTTCTTATTTGTCTGGGTTAACTTTTCTACCTGAAATTTTTCTGTCCATCCCCCAGTGTTGTCAGCATGTCTCTTGCATCACCTGGTCCCTCCACACTCAATGTTGTAGTTTTCTCCAGTTTTATTAAATCTTCATCTTGTGTCTATTATCCATGTCTTTCGAAGGGTTTCATGCCTATAGATACCCTATGTTGTAGACAAAGAAATAGATTCTTGGATCTGGGTTCTGATCTGCAGTTTAAGATCTGAAGGTTTTTAACTGAAGTGTGATAGGGGCAGGGGAAGCAGGAAGTTCATTCCAAGTAGCCCCAACAGCATTGGCTGGAATGTATACTGTCAGAGCAGCCCCCAGGACCTTGTTCACCTTTGACCCGTGCTCTGTTCATGGAGCCAGCACTGGGGAAATATTTCTGACCTGGGAGATTGAAGATCAAAGTTTACTGTAAAGAAAAACATTTTAAATAGAACATAGAGGAAACAGGCTTAAATGAATGACCTGACTGGGATTGTTCATGAAAAGCAGTCTATGCTGAATGTCAAAACAGTGTGTGCTGTACCATAGTAAGGGAGTGGTTTCAGTGCATGTGAGAGTGCTATCTTGGTGACTTGGTGACGGATGTACTCAATGCTAGCCTTGCCTCTTGGGTTCCTTCTCATTGCATCCACAGACTGAATTCAGAGGAGTAGAAACTCAGATGGTGTGCAGCATTTCACTCAGATACTGGAGCTGTGTATTGGAGTCAGATCCCTTTTGGCTGGTGGCTATGTCTATGACCTACTTTTCTTTTTCTTTTTTATGTGTGATTTTTTACTTACCCTATCCTTGAATGTGTCTATTCCCCACTCATTGGGTGGAGCTCCCACACCAGCCCTCCACTCGGATCTGTTGCAGCTGACAGAGGACTGTCTTTGGTGCCAACGTCTGTAGTCAGTTTGTGGAGATCAGGCACAGGGCCACACACCTCGTCCTGGCTGCTGTTTTCAGTTTGAGCCTGGCCCATCGCTCCCACTTGAAGGATCCAGAAGGCTTTGACCCAAAATAATTAAGCAGAGTGATAAACTATTCAAAAAACATCTGAAATATTGAGTATAACATATAACATAGAAAAATGAGGAACATAAATATACAAATAGGTAAGGCTTTTGCTTACTAGAGAATGTTAAGTTGGGAGGATGCTGGAGGTGAACAGTAAGC